TTGTTCTAAAATGCGCGCTTAGGCGTGCCTAGGCGCGCTAATGCAGGCTAATGAGCGCAAATGCGTGCCTAGGCGCGCGAATTTTCGAACAAAAAACGTCAAACACGCATTTTCCGCGCATTGCACCAATTCAACGCGTTTGGTCCCCCCTTCGCGCCTAGGCGGCGCATTTTGGCGCCTTTTAGAACACTGCTTTGAAGTGTCCACCCCTGTCTATTGTGTTAAGCTTTTGATAATATTTACTCGATGAGCTTATGTATGGGTATTTAATCTAAATGAACTAATGAGTTACTTGAAATATAAAACGAAAGTAAGAAATACAAGATTTCAAGTGGTTCACTTTGAATGCTAGAGTTACGTCTATCAGATCATTCTAGGGGCCTGTTTGGTACAGATTTTTATTTTCTACAGTAAATCAATTCTCATTTTCAACCACACATTCTTCAATAAAATAATATTTTCCATCACATCAAAACTTTTTTCTTCTTTTTCAACCACACATTTCCCATCATATCACTATTCAAAAATCAATTATTCTCCCAAAAATCCCTACCAAACACACTCTGAGTCACAATCCACCATTATGCCATCATCAACGTAAATTTTATATCCACCTGTATCACATTTTTAACTCATTGAGAGCCTGTTTGGTACAGATTCTCATTTTCTACAGTAAATCAATTCTCATTTTCAACCACACATTCTTCAATAAAATAATATTTTCCATCACATCAAAACTTTTTTCTTCTTTTTCAACCACACATTTCCCATCATATCATTATTCAAAAATCAATTCTTCCCCCAAAAATCCATACCAAACACACTCTAGAACAATCTAGTAGATTTCTCTAGTAGGTTGGTATTTGTAATCGTACCCAAGCTACTTCAGAAAGTTCGTAACGAGGCTATAATGATATCACAAATCGGGGAGCATAACAGCGATTTTAGTTCAAACTGGAAAAAACCGGATTGTAAGTCACTGGAGGAAATCCCAATCCATACGAACTTTATCTTCCAAACGAGCCTCAAGTTATTTGACGGGGACTGGTAATCGCAGTAGCAGTTCACAGGGGAAAAAAATTCGAAAGAAGAAGAAAAATGACAACAATGGCGGCGTTGCAGAGCTCCTTTACATCTCTGTCCCTCTCCGCCAACTCTTTCTTGGGCCAACGCTTTTCTCCATCTTTCTACCCGCCTCTGGTATGCCCTTCAAATTTCATCGCTGTTTTTTTCCCCATATATTGCGACCTTTAAATTCTTGCTTCTGCTAAAATTCTTGAAATTCTCAAGTGGGTCTTCGTTTTATTATCTTTATCGCTGGTTTTTGTATCGTTTAGGGTGCTTTTTTTTTTTTTTTTAATTCGTTAATGATTTTATATTTAAAGCATTGCTAGGGGTTGTGCGAGGATTATCAGAGCTTTATTATTAATCCACTGACCTATTCATGTAGCAAGTTATTTGGGTAGTTGCTGAGCATTAGCAGTTCTTAAGTCGAATCACAAATTTGTAATGCATATCCAGCTACTAAGCTGAATTAAAATTTTGTATTGTTTTGTCATAATTCTTGTCAATCTCTCAACCGTTGACTCCCCTATCAGAACAACGTGGAGCAAATCATAATCCTCGTTATCTAAAAGAGTTAAATTTAGATTTATATAAAGAGAGCTCAGCGGCATTGAGAGGGGTTTTTTTCTCCCATTTGAGTTGCAAGAGGAGTCATTGCATGCTATGCCTCAATTTCTCTTTGATGGAGAAAGTGTATGCAAATGAGTCAGAAGTAATGGGTTGGCTTCCCAAGGACTATTATAGATAATATAGGGTGCTTAGCCTCATTGGCTTCATGTCTACGTGTTGAGAAGTTCGTTTTCCCTCAGTTTTAACTTTTAGTTATCTTTGTATATGAAGTTAGTATCCAATTTCCTCTGTATGAATGAGGATTAACTGCATTAGTCTTGCTGTCGAGTAAGAGGGAAATCTCGAAGTGGCTGAATTATATGATAGTACATTTTGCATTTTCTGAAGTGGAACGTCTAACCAAGTATTATAAAATGAGTGGGTTAAATTTTGATCCTTTCTTTTTCTGGGACTCATAAATATTAAAAGGTTTTCTTTCTAACAAGGATATTGTTATTGAAGCCTGCTTTGTTTCATTTTTTCAAATGCCAAATTTCAAAGAAACTTTGTTCATCATTTTATAATAGTCCGTTGCTGTACTGTGCAGGTTAAATCAACCAAGAAGCCATGCTCCATTGTAGCAAAGGTTGGTGCTCTGGCTTTCGTTTATCGTACTTGTAATTTTCTCCCTCCATGAATAAATGTAAGTAAAGATCACATGTCAAAAGAGAAACAGGAATGAACATCTGGATCAAGAAGTGCTATACTTACCTTACATTCTTGATGGCTTTCTAGACTTGAAGTTGAATAAAAATCAACGAGTTTGAAAAGTTTTTATCTGGACTAAATTTTAAAGTCTTTTTTCTGTATTTTAAATCTTTTGATGATACAAAGCACATGATTAGAACGTTTGGAAAGACGTTATGGTGGCCTTTGGTAAGTAGGAAAAGGATTGATTGTGGTTTTGATGTTCCCCTGAGTCCGTTTTTAATCTCAAGTTTGGCATAATTAGTTTATTTTAGAAAAAATCCTTTTTAGGTAATCCTATTTCTTGTTATGGGATTAGTCCTTGCTCACCTGCTCATGGGTTTTTCGTTCCTAAACTACCAAGAGGAATGAGTGACATTTTTACCCAGCGATAAAGGAGGGAATAAATAATATTTTGAGATATCAAATACACCTACAACCTTGAACGATTTATGAAACGCAAGTACTAATAAGGAAGTTAGTGAGCTGCTGCCTGCATTATTTGTATGTCTCATGTCTGTGCTATACTATAGGAATACATATGCCAGGAATAAAGGGGGCAAGTACTAAAAAGAAGTTACAAAATTGTGTTTGTTGATAAGTAGCAATCTTAGGTAATAATGTTATGTATATGTAAAAAACTTCTGAAATTCATCTGCAGCTCAAGCGATGGGAGAGGAAAGAGTGCAAACCAAACAGCCTACCAGTTCTCCACAAAATGCATGTTAAAGTTGGAGACACTGTAAAAGTCATCTCTGGAAATGACAAAGGTAAAACCGGAGAGGTTGCCAGGGTTATCAAGCATAACAGCACCATAGTTATAAAAGAAATCAACTTGAAGACAAAGCACGTGAAGAGCAAGGAAGAGGGAGAACCGGGCCAAATAATCAGGGTTATTTTCTCATCTCCAATTTGTTAAAAACTTACATTTTCTGTTGCCAATCTCTTTGCATCCATGAATTTAGAGCTTTTCTTATTATCTAATTGCACTGTAGTGCTCTACTAATATATGTCGTTTTGCTTCAGATTGAGGCACCTATTCACAGCTCAAATGTAATGCTGTACTCTAAAGAGCAAAATGTGGTTAGCCGCGTTGGCCATAAGACCCTAGAAAATGGGAAACGGGTTCGTTACCTCATCAAAACTGGAGAAATTATTGACAGTGCAGAAAACTGGAAGCGAGCGGTCAAAGAGAAAGCAAATACAGCAGAAGTAGCTGCGACTTCTTAGGAGACCAATTCTTGAATCTGCTTCCATTATATTTTTTTTGAATTCTGAAATTTCCTTCTCTTCTTTGTAATAATGTATATGCTTCAACATTCCATTTTTGTCTACCAGGTTGATTTATAATTTGAAGGAAAATTAATGTCTCCTCGTAAACCAAATAGCAAAATTAGGATTGGCACTTTTGTGTATTCTTCCTAAAGAATGTGAAACAATGGAACTCTTGTGCAGCATTAGCAACTTTCGTGCTACTTACTGTATAAAAGTTGCAAATTCTACTAAATGACATGGACGATGTCTAAACTCACATTTGAACGTTAAACTTGAACCGTGGACTTTAGATTATCTCAATTTAGTCATTCAATTTCTATTTTTGTTCATGTCACATTTTAACAACACAAAAACTGATTATGGTTTTGTAACTAAGGCTACTCGAGCTAGATCAGTTAAAAGAAGACGACTAATAGAATTGGAGCAACTGGTTACATAGAGTCATGGCTCGTGAAGTCTCTCCAACAACGTTATTTATAAGAAGATGGAAGCTTCAATGAAGCTGTGAGAGGCTGTGAGTTACAGCGTCGGAGCCAGCACTCGGCAAGGTGGCACAATTGCCTGTGCTGCCTCCATCGGAATTTACGAGTTGGATTTGGATGCAACCCACTCGCTTCGCCATTGTTGCAGTCACCAAGAGCTTGAAGGGCAGGGATGGAGGAAGATGAGTGTTGGAATTGGGAATTTTTACTTTATTTTATTTTTTAATTAGGCCCATTATCCATAGGCGATAGGCTGCTTTGTGTTGTGATTATCGTTTATCGATAGGCCTCCTAATTCCTAAACGATTACGCATACACACACAATCCAAATCCTATCTTCCTAGTAAATGTGGCGAATTCAAGAATGTTGGTGAATTAGTGCGTCCATTAACTATTGACCATTAACGGTCAACGACCCCAATAGTGAGGTTGTTTATTAAAATTAATTAAATACTATTGAAAATTCTTTCATCTATATGTAAATGCACTAAAATGTAAATACCTTCTCATACAGGTTATGGATCGATTTTCATACGTATACGATATTTAGGTTTTAGTGTATTTATGTATAGATTGAAGAATTTTTTATATTATTTAATTAAATATTAATAAGCAACCTCACTATTGTGATCGTTGATTGTCGGCGGTCATTGTTCAATGGTCAATGACCGTCCTAACTCACCAACATTCCTAGATTGGCCACTGGCTGTGACGGTGTAATTCACGTTGCAGCATCAATGGAATTTGAGGTTCCTGCTGCAGAAAATGACGGTAATATACTGGACTTCAACTTATTGGAAAAGATGCATCAAAAGGAGTCAAGTGACAGTACTAGGTTTACTTGTTTTATGAAGCATCATTAGTTGCGTCGATTTTCACTTTACTCGTTTGATGTTGCCATTGTTGATGTACAGCATGATCACATCGGTGTAGGAGGGGTGATCAGGTACCATCGCGGCACTGTAATAGACTATTACTGCATGCATGACGGGGGTACTACTCGACCAAGGTTGCTGAAGCCATTGCTATTCAATCTGGTCTGGTCCTTGCAAGAGAGACTGGTTTTCGACTTGTTATGCATCAGTGCGATTGAAAATGCTAGTCGTGCTGGATGATGAGTTAGGAAATTCTCGAGTACGGTTCTAAAGGAACGAATTCACCTATGACTTAGCCGTTATGGCTAGAAATTGTGACGACTCGATTCTTTTAGAACTTTTTGTGCAACATATGATATCTCTAAAGAGATCTTATGAGTTAAGCCTCAACACCAAGAAACTGTGGTAAAAAATTATGCTTTGAAAATGTGACATTAAGTCTTGTAAGTAAATAGAGTTTATTTTAAATAATTGTAAAGCTTGCTTGATTACGAAGAAGTAAATCAAGTCATGATGAGCGACCTACAAGTGGTAGACGGAGTAAAGAAGCTCAATAATTAGAACTATAACACATGGCAAACTTGCATGGAGTCGTATTTCCAAGGGCAAGATTTGTGGGAAGTTGTTGGTGGAAGTGATGCGATACCACCAGAGGAGGTTGGAGCTCTGAAGAAATTGAGAATTAAAGCGGGTAAGGCCATGTTCACTATTGTGATCGTTGATTGTCGACAGTCAATGTTCAACGGTCAATGACCGTCCTAACTCACCAACATTCCTAGATCGGCCACTGGCTGTGACGGTGTATTTCACGTTGCAGCATCAATGGAATTTGAGGTTCCTGCTGCAGAAAATGACGGTAATATACTGGACTTCAACTTATTGGAAAAGATGCATCAAAAGGCGTCAAGTGACAGTACTAGGTTTACTTGTTTTATGAAGCATCATTAGTTGCGTCGATTTTCACTTTACTCGTTCGATGTTGCCATTGTTGATGTACAGCATGACCACATCGGTGTAGGAGGGGTGATCAGGTACCATAGCGGCACTGTAATAGACTATTATAATTACTGCATGCATGACGGGGGTACTACTCGACCAAGGTTGCTGAAGCCATTGCTATTCAATCTGGTCTGGTCCTTGCAAGAGAGACTGGTTTTCGACTTGTTATGCATCAGTGCAATTGAAAATGCTAGTCGTGCTGAATGATGAGTTAGGAAATTCTCGAGTACGGTTCTAAAGGAACGAATTCACCTATGACTTAGCCGTTATGGCTAGAAATTGTGACGACTCGATTCTTTTAGAACTTTTTGTGCAACATATGATGTCTCTAAAGAGATCTTATGAGTTAAGCCTCAACATCAAGAAACTGTGGTAAAAAATTATGCTTTGAAAATGTGACATTAAGTCTTGTAAGTAAATAAGTTTATTTTAAATAATTGTTGATTAATTAAAAGAAAGTTATTTTGATATTTGCTGAGGTTACTTTTGGAAAAAGTAACATTTTTTTTCTCAACTTAGAAGTACAACAAAAATAATTTATCCTAGTATGCTGCAGAGAAAAAGTAAATCTCAAAATCAGTAACTTTTTTTTTTTTTTTAAATATCGTTTAGTACCAAACATCGTATAAGATAATATACCCTATTTCTCCTTAATCCTATCCCGCATTATCCTTAATTTCTAATGATATCCGATATTATATACATGGTACGAAAGACACTCTAAAAGCTTGAAACTGAAAGTCAAACTCTTTTAGTTAAATAAAACACTTTTAAAAAATTATTTTAAACGAGTTCATAACTTTTTTTTTTTTGGCTTTTTAAAAGAACTGCCAAACGATCCTTATTCTTCTAAAAACTCAATATATCCTCCTAGAGTTTGGGGAGACTATTTTCTTAATTAAGATTCTCGGCTCACCCTATGATAATTACACTCTTTTTTCCATTTTTTAATTATCTGTTTCTTGTTTGAAATTTTAAATATTTTTTACTACATGATTTTCATATTAATGTGTTACATGCTCAGGGGCGGACCCAAACAATTTGTCTTGTGGGGTCAAAAATGAGAATTCAACAATGTTTAGAACTACATATCATTAACGAAAATAAGTTAATACGCTATTACAACTGTAGCATACGCGTTTTCATACCCTGAAAACGTCGCATAATTATATCGTTATCAATATTATTAAGTACATCGTTTTCAATATATACAACTAAACTATCATTTAACCATTGATCTCTCATCCTACTATGCAATCGATTCTTGACAATCTTCATTACAGAAAATACTTATAAACAATTCTATTTTAAATCACCAAGTTAGACAAACTGAAAAAGCTATTGCACTTGTTATGTAAAATAACGCATGATTTTTCACTTAGATTTAGCATTTTCATCGACCAAAGAAAGTGGTCGATGAATATGACACCCAACCAGTTATTAATTTTCAACGATCNTCATATGTCAGTGGGTCCCGCAGCCTACTATTTTCTGCAGAAACGTACACATCCTTCAAGCTCATATGTCAGTGGGTCCCGCAGCCTACTATTTTCTGCAGAAACGTACACATCCTTCAAGCTCATATGTCAGTGGGTCCCGCAGCCTACTATTTTCTGCAGAAACGTACACATCCTTCAAGCTCATATGTCAGTGGGTCCCGCAGCCTACTATTTTCTGCAGAAACGTACACATCCTTCAAGCTCATATGTCAGTGGGTCCCGCAGCCTACTATTTTCTGCAGAAACGTACACATCCTTCAAGCTCATATGTCAGTGGGTCCCGCAGCCTACTATTTTCTGCAGAAACGTACACATCCTTCAAGCTCATATGTCAGTGGGTCCCGCAGCCTACTATTTTCTGCAGAAACGTACACATCCTTCAAGCTCATATGTCAGTGGGTCCCGCAGCCTACTATTTTCTGCAGAAACGTACACATCCTTCAAGCTCATATGTCAGTGGGTCCCGCAGCCTACTATTTTCTGCAGAAACGTACACATCCTTCAAGCTCATATGTCAGTGGGTCCCGCAGCCTACTATTTTCTGCAGAAACGTACACATCCTTCAAGCTCATATGTCAGTGGGTCCCGCAGCCTACTATTTTCTGCAGAAACGTACACATCCTTCAAGCTCATATGTCAGTGGGTCCCGCAGCCTACTATTTTCTGCAGAAACGTACACATCCTTCAAGCTCATATGTCAGTGGGTCCCGCAGCCTACTATTACCTGCAGAAACGTACACATCCTTCAAGCTCATATGTCAGTGGGTCCCGCAGCCTACTATTTTCTGCAGAAACGTACACATCCTTCAAGCTCATATGTCAGTGGGTCCCGCAGCCTACTATTTTTTACCAACGAAAATGAAATTTAATGAGCAAAAAGGGGGCCAAACAGGGGCATAATAATAGGGAAAAAGTAAAAACAAAAAATAATGGGAAAAAGTTAAAAAAAAACTCAAAAAACAAAAAAAAATTGTGGGGTCATTTGACCCCACATGACCCCATGTGGGTCCACCCCTATACATGCTTATGCTTGTAACTTATACACGATACGTTGCCCCATGAAGAGCAAGAATGTCAAAGCTTAAAAGAAGTGAAGAAGTTACTAGCGGATACTCCAGATGGTTCTTTACATAAATTAGACCTCATCGAGGCTATCCAAGGTCTACCATTTTGTAAAGTAAATTGAAAAATCTTTAAAATACGTATATGCCACTTATCTTTGTACTATTGCTCTTCGATTTTGATTACTTAGACAACAAGGATATTATGTCTTATGTAGTAAGAAAACCACTTGACTAAGTTATTGTGCATCTTAACTTGCACATCTTTTTAAGGGTACTGTTATCCCATGAAAATGAGCCTAGCCAAGATGCCTAAAAGTGCATAATCGGGGTTCACCAAGTGGCTAGTCGAGGTGCCTAAAGAGGCCTAACCGAGGCTCATTAAGTGGCTAGACGAGGAGCCTAAAGAGTGCCTAACCGAGGCTCCTTAAGTGGCTAGACGAGGTGCCTAAAGAATGCCTAACCGAGGCTCCCCAAGTGGCTAAGCCTAAGTGCTTAACAAGTGCCTAATCGAGGCTCCTTAATGCTTAGCCGCGGCTTTTTGAAGTGCCTAACCGAGGCTCCCCAACTGACAACTCCTGCATAATATCAAGGTGTTTGATTTTCTTCCTTTTCTTATGTTCGAGAATGTAATATTGTGGCATTTCCCATATATTCATGTTTATTATATGCCGAGTCAAAGTTAACAATTAATTTTAATCTAATTCGCCCCTGTGATAATTGTGAATCTAATTGGACATAAACCAATGAAAAAGGAATCCTTTTAGGTTAAGAGCGAGAGAGAGAGAAGAAGGGGACGCAGACGTCAATAGGAAAGAAGAAAATAATTCCAGTTTTTGTACAAGAATTTGTCCAATAATCGTGGAATTAATCACGTTCCGTCGTCAATTTACCGAGAGATTTTAGCAAAGAAGAGAACGAAGAAAAAATTGTTGAGGTTCGTGTGGCGAAGACCAACAAGTGCTCATAGAATATTTATCTTGTTTATTATAATTAAACTTGGTGATGTCTTCCAACTTTTATTTGTTTGATTTCAATATTATGAGTGGTTAAATACTTTTTATGTTAGGGTGAACGATGTAGCTTAATGTTTTTAATATTTGTTTAAATCCAAGATTTTAGGCCACTTTAATGCGTGTCAATTAATTATTGCGTGTTTAATGCTTAAGTTGTCTACATAACAATCGATTGATTTAGGGATAGTACTGAGACCAAGTATGTGATGTATGATTCTAGGTCGTGCAATAAATAACATAGGTATTATAAGAGATCGAGAAATGATTATAGGTTATGCGATCCATATTGAATTCCTATATGTTAATGCACTCATATGTGTGTGAATTTATATAGAGATATAGTAAATTCTGACATATGAATATAATTAGTGTTGCTTGAGAGAGATCACTAACCATATTAGGTTAATTCGATCGTTGGCATGTATGAAAAAAATAGTTGAATGAATTGTAATTAGATTCATTTTAAACAATCTAAGCGAAATCGAAAATCAGAACTACCTAAACTCATATCTTCTCAATCGTGTTAATTTGATTTCGTTAATTAATTTAGTAGACAATTTGATTTGATAATTGGTTACCGTTTTACTTAAATTGAAGTATTGCTAGTTTAAAAATTGATAGTAGCGTTTCTGGGATGATACTTGGACTTGATAAATCCACTTTATCACTTGTTACGATCCGTACACTTGCGGAATTATACGAACAAAACCCCCCACAAACTTTGGATATAAATTCAAACTGGAGCAATGTGAACTCGAGTTGTTCACACTATGAAGAGTCGCAATCAGCAGTAAATGCCTACCGAACGGATTCCTTCAAATGGGATCAGTTTCTCTGTGGCAAATTCTCCATTCAAACATTCAAGAACATGATATACTCCATGTTCAGTTCTTTTCAAAAAAATTGGCTTTTTTTTTTTCACAAGAGTATTAAAAGCCATACTGTTTTTGCTGCGGAATATAAATTACCCCATACCAGGCTAGGTGCTGCTTAGATGGACTAAAGGAACTCAAACGTTTCCACTTTTATAAAATCCAAGAAAGAAACACTTTACTTGCAATGGATAGGATAATAAAGATGGATACCAAAAATTTCCGGTTGTTGGGATCTTTCAGGGCCAATTTACACAGCCTGCAATACTGTGGGCACGTGGATTGTGCTTGCCCGTAAAAACTGTATCTCACTTTTTTTCTTTCTTTCAAAATGAAGAGACAGACGATATTCAAATGACAAGAAAAGATTGAGGTGATGAGGAAAGTAAATTATTTGATTAGGAATTCTGTCATTTTTTCTCTTTTACAGCCTGTTTGAGAACCATTATTATAGAAAAAAATGAGTTTTGAATATCGATTTTTAGGAGATTGTGATTAAAATGTAGGGAAATGTTTTTGGTATACGTGTAGAATATTTTATTGTGTGAATGTGTAGTTAAAAATGATCATGTACCAAACTATAAAATAAATTAATAGATATCAAACGGCACTCAGCAAGTTTTTCTAATGATAAAGAAATTTAGTCATTGATTTGTTGGCATGTAGCGGAATCCTCAACCTAGATCACATCAGCTGTCTCTATTTCCCTGTCTCTGTGATTGTCTTGCCAATGAAAATTTAACAAACAATTTTAAATTTACAAATGTAACACATAAATACAAAAAACAACGTGACCTGACCTAAGAGCATTGGGTACCTTGACAACGTTAAATGAAAACAGAAAAATCTAACCTTATCTTATAAGAATTCATAATCCTAAGACGAGAATCTACTAGCTCAAGTGAAAAATAAAGCTGGCAATTAATTAAGACTATTAAAACAATTTTCCCACAGAGAAAAAATTGCAAATGGGGCTAGTAAAACAAAGAAACCAACGCCTGGACAAAGGGCATGAGACAATTAAAGTTGCAAATTCTACTAAATGACATGGACAATGTCTAAACTCACAGTTCATAGCTAAACTTGAACCCTCAACTTCAAATTATATCAATTTAGTCATTCAATTTCTATTTTCATTCATGTCACATTTTTGCAACACAAAAACTGATTATGGCTTTTTACGAAGTCTACTCGAGCTGGATCAGTTAAAAGAAGAATCTGGGCAACATGAAAATTTAGTCATTGATTTGTTGGCATGTAGCGGAATCCTCAACCTAGATCAGATCAGCTGTCTCTATTTCCCTATCTCTGTGATTGTCTTGCCAATGAAAATTTAACACACAATTTTAAATTTACAAATGTATCGCATAAATAAGAAAAACAACATGTCATGTCATGTAACGTGATTTCCATATCTCTGTGATTGTCTTGCCAATGAAAATTTAACACACAATTTTAAATTTACAAATGTAACACATAAATACAAAAAACAACGTGACCTGACCTAAAAGGATTGGGTACCTTGACAACGTTAAATGAAAACAGAAAAATCTAACCTTATCTATAAGAGTTCATAATCCTAAGACGAGCATCTACTAGCTCAAGTGAAAAATAAAGCTGGCAATTAATTAAGACTATTAAAACAATTTTCCAACATAGAAAAAATTGCAAATGGGGCTAGTAAAACAAAGAAACCAACGCCTGGACAAAGGGCATGAGACAATTAAAGTCTTCCTAAAGGATGTGAAACAATGGAGCTCTTGTGCAGCATTAGCAACTTTCGTGCTACTTACTGTATGAAAGTTGCAAATTCTACTAAATGACATGGATGATGTCTAAACTCACATCTGAACGTTGAACTTGAACCGCTCAATTTAGTCATTTAATTTCTATTTTTGTTCATGTCACATTTTAACAACACAAAAACTGATTATGGTTTTTCACTAAGGCTACTCAAGCTAGATCAGTTAAAAGAAGAATCCGAGCAACTGATTACATAGGGTCATGGCTCGTGAAGTCTCATCAGAAGGTTTATTTACAAGAATATGGAAGCTTCAATGAAGCAGTGAGAGGTTACGATGGTGTATTTCATGTTGCAGCATCAATGGAATTTGGGTTCCAGCTGCAGAAAGTGACGATACTGTGCTCGACTTCAACTTTTTGCAGAAGATGCATCAAAAGGAGCTAAGTGATAGAGATTGATAACAAATTATGCTTTGAAAAGGTGACATCAAGACTTATAAATTCAAAATTTGATTTCCTTTCAAACATTTTGGAGCACTGTATGATCAGATAAGGATTAATAGAATAATGCTACATGAACATCAATGTTGACATAATGTTACGTGTCGTTATATCATTTGGATAGCCAAACCCTTCTAGTTGTATAAAACACTTTGAAAATTAACTCGAACATGTCGGGAAACAATTTTTGAATTTTTAAAAAACACTGCCAAACAACCCTTATTCTTCTAAAAACTGGATATATCTAGAAATTCAATAATTGTGTTTTTATTTGAATTTAGGCCTTGTTGAGCTACATTTTTATAGAATGAGAATGAAAAATATAACTGTTATTGGGGTCCACACAAAAGATAGAAAATTTGAATTTAAATGTTAATGTGATGAATAACGGTCATATTTTTCATTTTAATGAGAAAATAAGGTGGCCCAAACGGCGGCTTAATATGCAACCCCACACCTTATGGCGCATTATTTTGTTCTTATGGGAGCGGAAATATGGCTATAAATAGACATCAACCTAATTTACAATTTCAAACAAAAACAAGCCTATAGTCGCTAAAAACTTTACATTTCGTGTCCAAATATAGAATGAACATTAATGCATCATCCGCTCCTTTCTCCACCAAAAATGTGGGCATTGAGAATGTTCGTCGCTCTTTAACATATCATCCTTCAGTTTGGGGAGACTATTTTCTTAATTACGATTCTCAGCTCACCGTATGATAATTACAATTTTTTTCCATTTTATTTAATATCGGTTTCTTGATTGGAATTTTTATTTTTTGCTACATGATTTTCATGTTAATGTGTTACATGATTATGCTTGTAACTTGAATAGGATACGTTGCCCCATGAAGAGGAAGAACGTCAAAGCTTAAAAGAAGAAGTGAAGAAGTTGCTTGCAGATACTCCAGATGATTCTTTGCATAAATTAGACCTCATCGAGGCTATCCAACGTCTTGGAGTTGGTTACCATTTTGTAACGGAAATTGAAAATTCTTTAAAATATGTATATGACACCTACAGTGAAAGATGTGGCAAACAAGACACTGATCTTCGTACCATTGCTCTTCGATTTCGATTACTTAGACAACAAGGATATAATGTCTCAAGTGGTAAGAAAACCACTTGACCAAGTTATCATGCAACTTAACTTGCACATCTTTCTAAGGGCACAATTAATATATTTTATTTTATTTTTGGGTTGAAGCAGATGTATTCAACAAATTCAAGGACCACAAAGGAGACTTTGATGAATCATTGATTAGCAATGTACAAGGCTTGTTAAATTTGTATGAGGCCGCACAACTTAGAGTACATGGAGAGGAAACTTTAGAGGAAGCACTGAAGTTTTCTACCAGTCAACTCAATTCCCTACTCCTCCATGTGAGTACTTCTCAATCTGCACGAATTAAGGATGCTTTGGAAATGCCAATTCGTAAAACTGTGACTAGACTGGGAGCTAGAAAGTTCATATCTATTTACCAAGAAGATGAATCACAGAACGAAATACTCCTCAATTTCGCGAAATTAGACTTCAACTTATTGCAGAAGATGCATCAGAAAGAGCTAAGCAATGTTACAAGGTTAGCCTTGTGAAACATTATTAGTTCTACCTTTTTCTCTTAATTTCAACTGATTGTCTTGATAGTTTGATATCAAATATAATTACTAGAAAAATTGTTAAGATTTTCCGTCTGGATATAATTGTACGTAGGTGGTGGAAGGCGTTAGATAATGAAAATAAATTGCCTTTTGCAAGAGATAGATTGGTCGAATGCTACTTTTGGGCATTGGGAGTATACTTCGAGCCCCAATACGCAAGTGGTAGGAAAATGATAACCAAAGTAATCGCCATGCTTGTTATTGTTGATGACATCTTTGATGTTTATGGGACCCCGGACGAACTCGTACTTTTCGTGGATGCGATTGAAAGGTAAATCATTTCGGTGCATCCTTTTATCTTAATGTCACACAGCATGCATATTTATCTATTGGATATCTTCATGTGTAGATGGGATTTTGGTGTCATAGATCAGCTACCGGCGTACATGCAACATTGCTACAAAGCTCTATTAGATGTTTATGTAGAAATTGAGGAAGAGCTTGGGAAGACAAAAAACTCGTCCCTTGTTCACTACGTGATAGAAGAGGTAATTAATTTATTACTAATAAAACTCATTATTTTCGCTTATATCAGAAGTATGTAAGCTTAATGTATATGTGTTCCGATTTGTAGACGAAAAGACTGTCGAGGTCATACTATCAAGAAGCAAAATGGGTGTACAGTGGTTATATTCCAACACTGGAAGAGTATTTAAAAGTAGGAAAAATAACTTGCACTTATATAGTGTTATCAGCAGCTGCTTTTGCTGGCATTGGAGAGTTAGTGAGCAAGGAAGCCTTTGAGTGGATAACAAGTTATCCATCAATCCAACAAGGTTCGGAAATAATCTGTAGACTAATGAACGACATGGCTGGATTCGGGGTAAGAAGTTCTACTTTCTACTGTTGTTATGGGACATCTACAAATATTTGAGTGAAGTGTGTATGGCAAAACTATTCTTATTTAAACTAAAATTAGGGCAAACTAAAATTACGAGTGTAAAATTTTTAAAGTATTCTTATTGAAATGTTTGGTTTAGGATTTAGACTAAGCCTCCAGCACTCCTTTCTGCTCCTTCCAACCCCTTGTCAACCTCACCGCGGAGGTCGAGTCCGTGTAGTGGCTCTGCATAGTGACAATACAACTTAACATAATTTTCATAAGATCTTTATAAGCTTTGATACCTTGTTGAAGGATAGGAAAATTGAAGTTATTAGAGAATACACAAATTTATTCATTGATGATGGTCTCTGCAAACACAACACAATGATTTAGCAGTGGACTATTTACCGAATCTTAACTTGTTGTGTTTGAGTGTGTTGATGTAGTTTGAGCAGAAAACTTCTGCAGATGAATGCTACATGAGTCAAAACAAAGGTGCCACAAAAGAGGAGGCATTTAACTTGTTGTGTTTGAGTGTGTTGCTGTAGTTTGAGCAGAAAACTTCTGCAGTTGAATGCTACATGAATCAAAACAAAGGTGCCACAAAAGAGGAGGCATTTGCAAAACTTCAAGAACTAGTTACGGATGCATGGAAAGATATAAATGAAGAATGCCTTCATCCAACCGCGGTGCCAGCGCCAAAAACTCTTCTCCTGGAAATAATCGAAAATTATGCACGTGTCGCACATCTTGTGTACAAATACATAGATAATTTTACGAAGTCTGACAACTTAAAAGATGTCATAACTTGTCTACTGGTTCAACCTGTGACAACACCATGATCAATCGAGTAATTAGTGGTTGTAATGATTGTAAAATAAGGAGGGGCATGGGTCTTGAACCGAATCTACTTGTAACTCCATCTGTATCATAAATATGCGAGTTATCATATCCATATAGTTTGTACCAAATATGCCACTAACGATGAAATATATTTCCTTTCTTTTGTGAGAACGTGTTCTGATATTCCATTACATTCTTATGACTTGGCAAGATATTCACAAGGAAAATGACTTGAGAGAACTCATAAATGTTAAATTTACACTTCTTTAAGTCACCAAAAGTGACTTTTGTTGGTATTATTTTGAATTTCATACTTAATTATATGTATTTTTTGGATTGATTAGAAGAAAACCCGAAATTGGATCAAGAAGGACGACGTTGAATAAAAGTTGCGGTTTTGGAGTCAAATCCCACACATTATAAGTTGAAGAACTAAAATGCACCATTGGAAAGAAGTGAAGCCTTGAGGAGAAATATTAATTTAATTTAGCCTTGAAATTGAAATAGAAATACGAATCAACTTCAAAATACAAGTGGACTGGGAATCTAATGGGGCTTAAAACCAATGAAAAAGGAATCCTTTTCGGGAAAAATAAAATAAAATAAAATATGAGAGAGAGAGAGAGAGAGAGAGAGAGAGAGAGAGAGAGAGAGAGAGAGAGGAAGAAATAATTCCAGTTTTTGTACAAGAATTTGTGCAATAATCGTGGAATTAATCACGTTCCACCATCAATTTACCGAAAGATTTACTTTACGCAAGGAAGAAGACAAAGAAAACTTGTTGGGATTCGTGTGGCGAAGATTATCTTGTTTATTATTGTATTTCGCTTTTCTTTTTATTTTTTATTTAACTTGTGCTTTATGTAAGGGAGGTAGTACTCATTTTTTACTGTTTTCCTATTATTCTTTACTTTCACTGTAAGGAATGTAGTACTTCCTCATTTATTGATTTCATTGATATCATTTGTAACCACGGTATTCCCTCGCCACAAGTGAGGACATACTAATAAAATTTCGGAGGTACCGTCCTCCTTCTATTTTTTTTTTAAAAAAAAACATTATGCGTGGGTAAATACTTTTTATGTTAGGATAGACGATGTAACTTAGGGTTTTTAATATTTGTTTAATTCCAAGATTTCATGCCACTTTTAATACGTGTCAATTAATTATTGTGTGTTTAATGCTTCAATTGTTGTCTGCACAACAATTGATTGATTTAGGGATAGTACTGAGATCGAGAGGTGAGTATGATTTTAGCTCGTGCAATAAATAACACAAGTATTATAAGAGATCGAGAGATGATTATAGACTATGCAATCCATATTGAATTCCTATAGGTTATGCATATATATGAGTGTGAATTTACATAGAGATGTGGTAAATTCTATGTAAATTCAGACATATGAATATGATGTTGCTTGAGAGAGATCACTAGCTACATTAGTTTAATTCAATCGTTGGCATGTATGAAAATGTGCCGAGTGAATTGGAATTAGATTCATTTTAAACAACCTAAGTGAAATTGAAAATTATATCTACCTAACCTCATAATCGTGTCAATCATGTAATTTGATTTCGTTAATTAATTTAGTAGATTTTAGTTACAAATCACAATTTGATTTGATAATTGGTTAACGTTTTACTTAAATTGAAGCTATGTTAGTTTAAAAATTGATAGTAGTGTTTGTGACGATAAATCCACTTTATTACTTGTCACGATCAGTACACCTGCGGAATTACATGAACAAGGACCCCACAAACTTTGAATATAAATTCAAACTGGAGCAATGTGAACTCGGGCTGTTCACAATATGAAGAGTCTAAATCAGCAGTAAATGCCTGCTGAACTGGATTCCTTCAAATGGGATCAGTTTCTCTGTGGCTAATTCTCCATTCAAACATTCATGAACATGAAATACTCCATGTTCTGTTCTTTTCAAATTTTCGAATCCAAAAGTAGGTAGGTATCATAAATTGGCATTTTTTCGCAAGAGTATTAAAAGCCATACTTTTTTTGCTGCAGAATATAAGATTACCACATACCAGACCGAGTGCTGCTTAGATGGACTAAAGGAACACTAACGTTTCCACTTTTATAAAATCCAAGAAAGAAACATTTTACTTGCAATGGATAGGATAATAAAGATAGATACCAAAAATTTCAGGTCGTTGGGACCTTTCATGGCCAATTTACGCAGCCTGCAACAGCCCGTAAAAACTGTATCTCACTTTTTTTCTTTCTTTCGAAATGAAGATACTTTTAAGAGACTAATGATATTCAAATGACAGGAAAAGATTGAGGTGATGAGGAAAGCAAATTATTTGATTAGTTAATCTTTGTCCTTTTTCCTCTTTTATCAAGTTATTCTAATGAAATTCAGTCATTGATTTGTTGGCATGTATCGGAATCCTCACCCAAGAACAGATCCGCTGTCTCTACTTCCCTATCTTTGTGATTGTCTTGCCAATGAAAATTTAACACGCAATTATAAATTTACAAATGTAACACATAAATAAGAAAAACAACGTGTCACGTGACGTGACTTAAGAGACTTGCATACCTTGACAATGTCAAATGAAAACAGAAAAATTTAACCTTATCTATAAGAATTCATGATCGTGAGACGAGAATCTACTGGCTCAAATGAAAAATAAAGCTGCCAATTAAGAGTATTGATCTTACGAATTTCTCCAAGTACACGGTATCGTGAACAAGTAATAAAAGTACTAAGTAAAGTATTGTTCCCAAGAGTACTATGCTTTTAACTTAGGATCAATTAATATTAACTTTAATCGAATAGTCAAATTGGTCTGAAGAATTTATATTAATTAACTAATGAATTTAACTATTCTAATGAGCGAATTATGAAAGCTTTTGTAAAATTGTGTGAGATGATTACTAAGATTTTGAATCCCTCTTATTAATCCATTTTGATACAATTCAATATCACGCACGCACGCACACACACACACACACACATTCTAGTTGATCAATGTTCCTAAGTTAATTAATAATCTATCTCGAGTAGAATTAAATCTATTCTCTTGTCACGTCACATGACTTTTCTATATCTTTATAAAATGTGCTAACATGAAAGCATACATTAAAAATACTAGAACGCCTAATGAAATCATACAAACCATAGATTTATATCTCTACTCGGTGTCAAACCTTACAATGATTGTTATAATATGCTATCTATCCCATTCTCTCTCCATGGTAATGAAACTCAGAAATAATCAATCCAATTTGTAATTAAGTAATTGAAAAATATTTATCGTCACAATAACAATTATCAAATAATAAACACATTTTGTACGTCAAATTATTAAATTTATATTAAACACTTCATAACAAGGGTTCATCAATAACTTAGTAATTAAAAATCTTGTCTAGCATTGTAAAATGGCAAGAATACATGTTTAAATTGTAAAACATCACCCAAATTATTGATAAATTGAGAAGAGAAAGAATTTTGAAATCTTGAATATTTTCCACGATTTCTTGATTGATCTCCAATTGTTCTTTATATTCTTTGCCCAAAAATCAAGAATATTGGATCTTCAATCGATTGAATTCTTGCAATTGCCTCTTACTTCTCCTAAAAGAATGATGAATTAGCCTCCCCGTTCTTGTAATAATTGATGAAATATAATGTATGAAAGGTGTCTTCAATGGCTGCCCATGTTCTTGATTTATAGAAGATAAAAATATTAGGTCAAAAAACACGTTTAAATTGGGTTTCAATCAAATTTCTCTAATTTTTTAACGGTTGATGACAGGGTGATAAATAATGTAACAATTCGATAAATTCAAAGACTACTCAGAAACATTTTTAAAGTTTATAATTGATGGTAAACATTATGAAAAATATAGTGGTCCAACATCGGTGCATTTACCCTAAACAACAATAGACAAAATAAGGGAAAACAAAGGAAAAAAGTGCATATCATGAGGTCAAGTGAAGAAGAAGGTAAATTGAGATGGTGAAGAGGAAAATGAGCTGGGTCATCAGAATGGGTAATTATGTTACCATCTCAAAATTTACTTATTACACCGTATTATAATCCAACACAATTAAAATATATTTTCAATAAATACATCACAACAAATTCACAATTATTCTTCTCATATTTTCCACCTATTTTGGATTTTCTAAAAGACACAAACTTTTTAAGATTCTTGGGCTATTTCAAGAACTTGTGTTTTTACCTTGCAGATACTTCAGAATCCAGAATTCAAACCTCAATGCATATTTTTTATCTATCATTTTCCCAACTTTTGTTTAATAGGGAACTGCCACAAGGGCTCGGATTCAAGAGCGTTTAAGAGGACAACATGTCGGCTTGCTGCCGAATGGCTCCATATGACTGATGACCATGATGAAGAGTTCTATTATTATGATGACGAAGAATACTACAATAGCGATGTAATCAAATGATAGCTCCTGTTGCGCCTCACCATTGAGGCTTCTGTCAAAGTGCCACATCGTAGTCCACATGGAAAGGAAAGTCAACAAAGATCCAATTGGTCAAATGCAAAGAAATCAAACAAAAGTCGAAACTCATGTGCCGAAACACTGCATAAATGGCTGAAGCTCTTAAATGCTCTAAAGTACTGTCTAAATGGTTGAAACTGTTAAACCGAAGCGCTGCGTAAGAAGTCAAAGAAGAGCCACAGCTCTTCATACAGAAGTCCACCAATACGAAAATCCCTCCTGTCAAAGCCCTTAGTTCATCCTTAGTTGATCTGAAATCCTTGAAACTGAAGTTGTCTCTTACAAGATTTGTAGACAATTTTTTAATAATGATTGATGTAACGTTTGAAATAAAAAATGTCATGTGTGTTAGCCTAATGTATAGTGCGGCTAGCCCGTTGTTAATGTATTTATTGTATGATAGATTTAGTGATGTGAGACTTCGATCAAGGAGATGAGGCTACGTGGTTCTGATCCAACGAACACCACGTCGGTCAAAACACTATAAATAGGTGGTCTTT